GGGCAGGAGAGAGGGCCCCCAGCTCTCCCTGCAGGAGCGGAGCCAGCTCTCCGGTGCCTTTACACCCCATTTAACCCAGCAGCAGCCTGTGATGTTGGGCTTGTCGGCGGTTTCCAGGAAGAGGAGGCCAGGAGGGGGCTGGGTGAGGTGTCCTCGGGTGTGTCACAGACCCTGTTAACCGATGTCCCCTCCCTGGGGTCCCAGGCAGCAGCTCCTTCCCCCATAAAGCCCCCTGGCTTCTCTCGCCTCTTTCCTCTGAGAGAACCCAGGCGAATGCTAAAAACCAGGGTCCCCCACTCCCACTGTGAGCACTGGCGGTTAAACATTACCGACAGGTTGGGTGGGAAGAGGGGTTGGGAGAAGTGTGGGGTTTCTATCAATTTACTTGACAATTTATTTTCTTCCTGACTTAAATTTATGTTTATTCTATTTGGAATAAGTAATCTATTAATGTGGCAAAAAATAAAAATGCGGACAAAACCCAGACTGTGTAATGAAGGGGAAACCTGGTCCCCAGCGCCTCCCCAGCCAGCACCCTCCCCCACCCCTCCCACCCCCCCTGGAGCCCGGGGCCGTCTCAGTTCCTGGAGGACGTAGGGCCTGTCCTGGGTGAGTCCCAGCCCGTGGGAACACTCCACTCCTGCAGACTGTGGCCTAGGTACTGACTGTTCTTTGGACGTGACAGTTATCTTGGAGATGTGGCTCAAACAGCAGGCATTTATCCTCTGGAAGGGCTGGAAGGTCAGAAGTCACTTTCACTGTCAGCTCCGCAGGCCGCTGGGATTGAGGGAGGACCTTCCCGGCCTCCCCCTGATGGCAGGGTCTTGTAACAGGCAGCGCCTCACCCCTGTGCACACACCCTCTCCAGTCCTCTTAGCCTCCGTTTTGCAGCGGGGGATGCCAGTGGGGAGGGCCCTGTCCAAGGTCACACGGCCAGTTGGTGCTGGGTCAAGAGCCCGAAGGCCTTCCTGGTCTGCAGCCCTCTCCACAGCCCTGCCCCGGGCCTGGCTATGCACCACGTGGCCCGCCTGCACCTACAGCCCAGGCTGATCACCGAGTTCCCGTGGCTGCAGTGACAGGCACCCCGGATGGCACTCCAGCAGCACAGGGAGGGGCAGGAACCTTGGACAGGTTCGGGACCCACCCTGTGTGCCCCTTGGTCTCGGCTTCCTTGCTGCTGTGCCTCCCTTACATGGCACCCACCGGCCCTCCCAGGGGAGGGTGTGTCCACTGTGACGACAGTGGAGGCAGTGGCCTCGGGGAGCTGGGCCAATACAGCCCTTTGCTCACCCCCCACACTGGGAAGCCCTCCCGTGGCCCCCACCCACCCAGCCCGGCTCTGCAGGCCTGCTGATGGGCATTGGGTGTCCAGCCCTCCCAAGGCCAGGAAGCTCACCTGAGCGGGGCGGTGGTGCTCCACATTAGGTGCTGCTGGGTGGGAGCTGTGCCCTGGCAGGCTGGCAGGGCAGGTCTGCAGTGCAGACTGTCTGTCCCTGGAGCTCCCTCGGTAGCTCTCAAGGTGTGGTGGGCTCCTCAGCCTGCTGGGCAGACCCTGAAAGCCACCCCTGGGCATCCAGGTGGGTTTGGGAAACAAAGTGGGCAGAATTGATGCCTGAGTGGATGTGAGGGGGTGAGAGGTGGGAGGCCACCATGACAGCCTCTTCTGGCTTAAATGTCCCTGTGGATGGTGGGAGACAGGATGGGAAGGGGGGGCACAGTGAATAAATGGCTGAGTGGATAGATGAGGGCAGAGGCTGCTGAGCACAGGGCCAGGTTGGGTTTTGCTAGAGAGAGACAAGGGAAGGCAAAAATGTAGGAGGGCGGGAAGCTGGGACATGGAGCTGTGTGGGCCGGATGGTGAGGAGGTGATTGGCTGAGGGCACTGGGGTGCAGTCCCAGAGAAGCAGGAGTGGCAGCGAGAGAGCAGGACCCCCGGACAGAGACTGGGGGTTGCAGGTGTTGGAAACACGAGGTTTGGGGGTGGCCATGGCAGTGGCAGGTGGAGTGGGGTCATCAGGAGGACATGGCCAAGGATGGACCATCCTGCAGACCGATGCTGAGGTCACTGGTGAAGATGGGTGGGGAGCCAGTGGCCCAGCATTAAAATGAACGGGGGGACTGGCGGAGTGGGGTGCAAGGATTTTGAGTGGAAGTGGGCTGAGGAGGGAGAGCCCACCCACCGCTACTGCGGTATGCGGGGGGCGGGGGGGAAGCAGCCCAGCTTGGGGGGCTTCTGGTCCCTCTTCCCAACCCACACCAGGCCTTGACTTCACCCAGGACTAGACGGGGATCCGGCCACCCCTCCCCTGGTCCAGGGGTGCGCCGGGAGCCTCCCAACCCCAGGCCTTGCTCAGGTGGCCCCTCCTCTAATGTCTCCCCTCTGGTCCTACAAGGGCACCACGAGCGCAGCCCCCCCCCTCCCGGCCTCTCCTGGGGTCCAGCCTGCCCCAGCCCCCCTTCTCCCCTCCGCCCAGCTTCTGCCGAGGAAAATGAAGCTCCCGACTGGCCCAAGGTCATCTGCCCTCTGCCTTGGCGAATCCCGAGGCCTTTCCAACTGGATGGCCTCCCCGAGTGTCCCCTTAGCAGCTGGTGGCCCCACAGGTGCTGGAGGACAAATGTGACCCCCCTCCCCCATCTTGTGGGTCCCCACGCTGGGCTGAGCGTGTTTGCGGACGGCACGAAAGGCTGTGGGCGCCAAGGTGCAGGCTTCTAAGCTTCCCCCGCGGGACCCGGGCTCCGGGTGGAAGTGGGCTGAGGAGGGAGGGCACTGGGGTGCAGTCCCAGAGGGACTGTTCTCCCTCTTCAGCCCACTTCCACTCCAGCCAGGCCTACACAGATGGGTCCTGGCAGCCCCACGCCCAGCGCAGCTCGCCCCCACCTCACACCGTGTGGGAGTGGCCGCAGCACAGCGCCCTCCGGTGGCGGAGGGGAAGGCGCACCGCTGGTGCCGGCGCAGTCAGGGGTCTAAGGCTGGAGAACTGACTAACCCTCAGGCCTGGGGGCCAGAGCAGAGGGGAAGCAACTCAGGCAGTGGAGGGCTGGGGAGGGTGCGCGGGCCGGCCCTGCCTGGGGGTGGCGCACAGGGCTGGAGAGGCGCTCTGGCCACCAGCTTCTGGGACACCTGTTGCAGTTGGTGGGAGAGCTGGAGCTTGGGCGAGGCCCCTCCCTCCGGGAATCTTCCATCTTCTCCTGTCTCCTCCACTAGATGTAATGCAGTTCCATTAGCACCTGAAAAAGCCTGACACATAACTGGGGCTCAGCAGCTGCTGAATGAGTGAACCTGGGAGTCGGAGGGTCCAGAAGCTTCGGGAGTGAGAAGCTGCGAGGGGGCTGAGGTTGGAAAAGTAGGTCAGGGCTGGACTTGATCTGGTAGGAAGTGGGGAGCCCCTGTAGGTTCAGGTGGGCAGGGGAGACCCACGCTGGAGCCCCATTAGGGGGATTGCACAGCGCCGTGTGTCAAGAAGCTGGAGAGGAGCGGCTGGGCCAGAACAGGCGGGTGAGGAATGCTGGCGGTGGGGGCCCAGAGCCAGCGCCCCAGGCCGCCATGCTGGGAACCCATGGGAACCGAGGCCAGGGTGCCACTCCATCATCAGCGGCCAGGGCTTCTTCCCAAGGGGTTGGAGATGAATTCTGGCTGCCAGCCAGAGGCAGCAGGAGCCAGGCAGGCCTGGGGTTTGACTTCCTGCTGCCTAGATCTTTGCCAATGACCCTCATCCATGACATAGTCATATGAAATGGTGTTCACAGTGCCCGGCATGGTACTGGGGACAGTTAGGTCCCTAACACACGTTGTTACACCTAGGTGGAGATGCTGGCAAGTGTGAAATAGGGACAGTGGATGTGGGTAGGGGCAGGGTGCCTGCAATCTTTTGATCTAAAATCTGAAGATCACCAGCTCTTTGGCCCTTCACTCAGCAGCATCCTGCCAGCAGCCAGGGGAGTAAGTGCTTCTCTGCGTTTGCTTTTGGCCGAATCCTAGCTAGCTCCCTGTTTATTTTATCAAGTCTTCAGGAGCCTAATTACAGCTAGTTAAGATTTTCTTACTGGAGTGCCCGGAACTATCACTTGGGGTTGAGAATTTGCTTTCTGAAAAGTGGGTGAGTTTCTCATTTAAACTCTTCCAGTCCATCAGTCCATCCTGGAGCTGAGAGGCTGCGCTAAGGAAGCATTTCCTGCTGGTGAGACCGAATGAATCCTGGAGTTTCCATTCCTGGGCCACAAGGGAACCCAGGAGGGTCTGCCTCAGACCAGACAGGAGCCTCCGGCCAGGTTTACTGTGTGATGAAATGCAGGAAAAGAGGTGGCTTAGAGGCTTGAGGAACAAACAAGAACCACAGGCATTAAAAAGCTTAACATTATGCGTTTATTATATCTTATAGAGCCATGTTATTATACATGCTTGGTGCTTCAAACTGGATTACGTTAAATGTTTTTCTGGATGCAAAGCCATCTTGCTTGATGCTTGAGATGCGGATGCCTTAAATGCGATAATACTTCTGCATCTAAGACCTATGAGCTAAGGAAAAACCAAGGACAATTCCAGAAATGGCAAAAAACATGTAAGAAAAAGATGCACATGAGACGCAACGCTAAGTCCTTGAGCCAGGGCCTACAGAAGTTACCAGAAAGCGAATAAAAACAATTGTTCTATGAAAATGACTTGACCAATCACCAGCTGTAGATAATAAGAGCCTCATAACAGTTACAGGTATTGTAGAAAAGGTGGTTTGGTATCGATGCCTTTTTCCCCTCCATGTAAAGTACATGCAGACATTGTGCAGTCCCCCCGACAGCGCAGCCAACAGAATACAGCACAGCAACGGGCCCCTCCCCGTGACACCCCAATGCTGTTTCTTACGGCGTCTGAGTGTCCTTATCGAGAAGCATTCTGATCAAATCCGCCACTTTGTGGAAAACCGTTGTGCTTTAGGATGAACGTGCTACCATCACTCTCACCCTGTGCAGATTCCCACATCCTGGCCAGAACCATGGGGCCAGGTGACCAGCTCATGGGAATTTGATTTACCTGCTGTCAACGTTCCCTTCTTTTTATAAGAGGAGCTGATTCAATATGTGGACAATATGCCACCTGCCCTCCCAGCTTACACCTCTCTGGCTCTCTGCTCACCACTTAGGCTTGGAGGCAACGAGAAGCCCACATGTGGAGGAGCCTGACCATTCCTGTCTGATGCTGCTGCTCTGAAAGGCCTGCACTGCATTGTCTTCGGCAACCAGGGACCTGAGCACAGCCCATGCAGTAACCATCAAAGTCAACCAAGGTCAATACGTTAGGGTGTAGGAGACCTAGCCACCCACTCAAGCAAAGCTTCTGAGCTGGCAAGAGGTGCCTTCCGCCATGTTGAAGAGCAGGTTGGGGAGCGCACAGCCGAGCTGCAAAGGGGCAAAGCTTGGGTTAAAAGTTCGGGTGGAATGAATGCACCTGCCGGTGGGTCCGAGGCCGTCCAGTGACAGGCAAGGCGCTGCCTTAGGCAGCCGGCGGAGCAGCTGCAAGGAAGCTCGTGGTGTGGGTATGGCATTAGTGGGTGCCTGTCGGCAGCTTCAGTTCTCACTACCTTTTTGACCCCTGGATCCATGCTCTGGCTCATGGCCAGACGTCAAGAAAGCAGGAGGAACTTGGAGAATTTAAGATGAATAACATGGCCTTCCTAAACCACGAAATCCCAAATCAGTCAGATACAAGAAGTGATCAATTCTCTCTGCCTGTCATGGGGGTACAACGATCAGATTTCCAACCGAAAAGCTTCTGAGGGCCCAGTTTTCCTGTGCCACAGACAAATCTGAGATAAGTTACAACAGGTAAGTTTTGCTAAGCAGACTGGGGGCAGAGACAAAGCCCTCTGCCCACCACCCGCCCGACCTGCCCAGCGTCCCTCTGGGCTGCTGGCTGGCTGGAAGTGTCTCTTCTGTTTGTGAAGAAACAAACCAGAATTCTGCTGGGAACATGGGCAGGCAGTGGGCTTCCTCTTCTGCCAAGGGTCTCACTTTACTCAAATTTAGTAAAATCAGTGACATGTAAAAGAACTGTACGTGAAAACCAGATAGAAAAATAATCTTGATATTCCTCAAATCCTCAGGTCTTGAATCTAGGCAAAGCACACAAACACCATATGAAACCAACAGCGTGAGTTCAATGTCACCCTGGAAAATAAATGTCACTCTGAGGCGACAGTTCTTTATACAAATATTATGCTTCCCCCTAACTTCACTACCAAAGAGGGGGGAAATAATAAGAAATCCAAAAATAGAAAACAACATCTTATTAAATGTAAACGTATCCTCTGGGCTCTTATATTACATATCCTACAAACATGCAAGTATCTCAGCTCAGATGTAGGAAAATAGGTCTATCAGTATTACTTATAAATCAGGTTAACCCTCAAGACCACCAATTGACTCACTCACTGTTCAAATACCATGTCAAAGTTTTGTCATGTACATCCTCAGCAAACTTAAGAATTTTAACCACAGCGAACTGGGTTTCAGTTACCCCCAGCGAGAACGACTCTGCTCTTTAACTGTCGCTCACCTACTTGTTCTCTATACCGGGGTTGAATGTTCCTTCAACAAGGAACTTGGACAGTACATTTCTTCAACCCAATTACATTCCTTTCAGAAATGAACTCTGCAGATTGAGAGAAGATACATGAACAGAGTCAAGGGGGGTGATGACTATTTCACTCAGACAGAGGGATGGAAGAGATGACCAAAGGCACCCCCCTAGGGGTCAAGGCACGGGAAGAGGGACCAACCTCCTCCAGGGTCCTGGCTTCTGTAGGTCATAGGACATAGAGTGGCTCTCTGGACTGCCAGCATGTCCCCACAGCACAAGACTGCCCTGCCGTGGGCCGTTGGGGAAGGAATCCCAAGGACAGTGCCAGGATCAGGCTCCAGGCTGGTGCAATGCTGGGCAAGGGTGATGCAGCTCCAGACCTCATATGCCCCCCAGGACTGCTTGCCTGCTGGCAGGGAGGGAAGGAATGGTTGCTCACACCACGGGCACCTGAGGAGGCCTCTGCCCCAGGTCTAGCCAGAGAAGCACTCCGGGCGCTCAGCTTTGAAGGGGAGCTCCACCATGGCTTACCTCGCTCCCGACTGCCAGATACAGCCACTCCTGGCTTATCGAGGGGACAGCTGGGCTCTTCGGATTAACTCAGTTCCAGCAAACTACTCATTCAATGGAAAACAGATTCTGAACGAATAAAAAAATTGTCTCAAGTTAAATTTTTCATTTATGAATCAGAAGGCACTTCAAAATTCCGGAGAGCCAGTGTCACTGCTCCTGGGCCACCAATCCTGCACAGGACTGGAGGAGGAGCTGGAGACAGGGCTACGTTTCTGACCTGACGGTGCCCTGGATATCAGTTGAATAAATCTGGTTCAGCTAGTTTGTCGAGCACACAGCACAAAGACACACGGATGTTTGCATTCTGAGTAAATGGGATTTTGCTGTATTGTGGCAGTTTATAAAATATTCTCATGGGTCTGATATTTGACTCGAAGTAAAGTTCGAAAAATCATAACGGTACATTTAAGAGGTCACAATGTGAGAGGCAAAGTACTCATTGAGTACAGTTCCCTTAATCGAATCACCTTGCCAATCAGTACTCAGTGTCCATTTAGAAGCATGAGATTAAGCTGCTGGCGCTCAACTGCTACATGTGCTAGCACTGAGGACTCCACTGCCAAAGGCCCCAAGGCTCTCAACCACACAGCATAACCAGGGCCTGCCTCTGGCTGGGCGAGGACCTGCTGGAGCCACCCAGAGGGCGGCCTGAGCACTGGACACCTGCTTGTCCCTGCCAGGTAACACCTTACCTTGAGAACACAGGCCAGGGTGCAACTGTCAGTCACATCTTTGCTGGGGGAGCTCAAATCAAAACCCAATTGCCAAAGGGCCTGGTTGGGAGTCCTCTGAGGTAGTTCCTTAACTCGGGATGCCTGTTACCTACTCTCTCAGAACTCAGTCCATGCGGGAAAGTGTTGAAATACCCATGCATTGCTTTAATCGTAAGTCACTGTAATTGAGTGCAAAATAAAGGAAACTTGAGTTGCTTTATTTAGCTTCCAATTTCTGGGAGGCTCAAGAATTATAATTATTCTGGACAACAAAAGGAAATAAGACTGTGCTTACAGATCTTTTCTGCCATATTCTTTCTGTAGGATTGCTATTTTATTGTTGCCCTTTCTGTTACATGGATGTACATACCAGGTGTTAAAAGGTACAATACATTCTACAACTGAGCACCACTTTCTGTAACTGAACAGGCAAAGAGATTACACTGAACATCAGCATCTGGCAGTATTTTTCGGAAAAAAAAATGTGACTAAAATGGGTTTAAATTGATTAACACTATTAAATCACATCTAATATTTGATACTACATGATTCAATACAGCTATACGATACAATTATACAAAATGTGTTAACATCAAAGAATACAACCAAAATTAAGATAGCAAACAAAACCTATATAACTTTTTTTTTTTACAGGAAAATACTTTTGAAGTATGCATGTAACTGCCCATTCTTTTAAAGAAAATCTACTGCAAGCAAAGTTATCAACCTCCAGAAAAATCACACATAGCATTACTAAGCATATCCCCAAAAAGTGTACAATATGCACACTTGGAAAATACAAAATTAAAAAAATTGTAAGCAACAGGTGAGCTTCATATTTATAAGAATGTGAAAAGAAGTCCCATTTTTAGCACTGTTGTATAAAGAATTGTCTTTTGATGCAAAGTTCATGACTTGTCCTCCTGTTGGGACCACACTTTACAAAACACCGTAGTTTTTGAAACGAGATTACAGAGCTAGATAGAGTCATATCTTAGCAATGTCATCTTATTAAAGTTTTTTAAATTTTTACTACTTTATCAAAACATGTCCCTTAGGTGTGTAGGATTCATTTTTTAAAATTCTTTCCTAGAAACAATATACAAAGGAGAGGCATAGTTATTCCCAAACACACTCCTGGAAGATGCTTCCCGAGGTCTAGAAGGCTCTTCTCTCTCGTCTTCTCACTGGTTGTTTTTGGCCTTTGCATGTGTTAAGATGTGAGATTTCAGGTTAGTCGACTGAGCAAACTTCTTATTACAACCATCGAAGGGGCACACATAGGGCCTGTCTCCGGTGTGGATTCGCACATGTGTGCGCAAATTGAAGTCCAGTGAAAAGCGTTTCCCGCAGCCTTCGAACGTGCACTGCCGGGGAAAGACCAGAGAACCCGCTCAGTGACACAAGGACCCGCCGCTGCGCTGGAGGGCAGCTTACTTCTTTGACCTAACTCTTTTCTCCCTGCCCAGGGGAATTTTCTAGCTGTTCTAGAATTAGTGGGCATGGAGCTCTAGCTCTGCACGAACTACTCCTAAGACCCACAGGAGCGCCCTCCTGAACCATTTGAATGCAATGTAAGAGAAACACTTGGATCTCTCTAAATAGTATGTGATGGTCCTAAAACTTATGTACAAAAAAACAGGAAAGCTTCTGGTGCCAAATCAAGAACCAGGTCAGGTTTACTGTCTGTACTGGCAGTCTGTTCCCTTGTTCATGGGCTTCTAAAATGAGACAAAGTGTTAACTGTACTTACTCTCGTACAGTAAAATTTTAGAAGTTCCCTGCCAATTACTGATTCAATATACTACTAACTACCCAAATTAAACTGCTTTGACCCCACAGTGGATGCACCCGAAATTTAGTTTTGGGCTTGCTCTTGAGCAATCCTTTCTCCTGATATGACAGACACTACAATGGTCTCCAGTATGTCACAGAGCAGCCCTCCTGTGACAGGACACCAGGCCATCTCTCCCTGAGCTAGAGCTGCC